CTTTTATGGATCCATTTCGTTTTTCGATTTATTTTATCTTCAAGTTCGTATAATTTTGGCAGTTTTGTTATCTTCTCCCTTGATTTAGCGCTGTTGGCTGTAGTCGATTTTATTTTGGTCGTGATCGAATCCTTTAGAGTTGTGGTCTTAGCGGTGCTCTGTCGGATTCTTCTGACATGTTTTCAATCAAGATCTACTTTAGACCGAGGTCATTCAGATATCTGCATAAGCTGTTGACTATCTTTTTGGTTCTTGCCAAATTTATGTCTAGTAGTCTCGATATTGATCTTTGGTTCTTAAGCATCGCGTGAAACACCAGTCCTAAAATCACATTTTGAAGTTGCCAACGTACTAGTTAATCCTGCACACTGAATTTCTTGTTTGGTTTACTATTTTGAGGGTGGGCGCAGTTCCTTCACTGAGCATAACCACTTTAGGAACCGACATTTTGAAGCTGTTTCAGTCGTAATAGATAATTGATGATATAGAAGCCGTTATTAGTCTCATCACTTGAAGATGATTGAATTAATAGAGTGGCTCTATCTGCTGTATTTGGGTCAGCTAAGTGTTTGCTATGTCAACATAGGGTCTTGTTGGGGTCAATTTTCACTATGATAGGTTATGCAGGCTGATAGGAGGTCATAAAGCTTTCTGTTCTCTTGGTGATGTCATGCCCTAGCCACTCATACCCTTTATTTGTCTCAGAAAATGCATTACTTTGGTATATGGAGCGATTGGTTTTTGGGGAACACCTATTAATTTGTTTCCCGACCTTTTCCTTTTGGTTATTCATCTTGAGCCAATGTCAGCAGCCATCCAGGGGTTTGGAAAAATTATAGCTGCATAGTTTTGCAGACATTTTAAAGATTGCATGGTGAGTTGGAGCATGAATGTATTTTATACACTGCCTCTCTTTTCATATTAGCATGTGCAATTCCTGATTTTTGATAAATGGATGTTGGGTTGGCCACACCCTCTCAAAAGAAGATTCATATACCCTTACTCTTATTTCTTGTAAGAGTGAAGGAAAATATCAGTCATTGTCAATGTATATTGTTATTTTTTTTAAAACAACCACTGTATTGTTAATTGTTATTGAAATGATGCAATATTGGGCGCTATATAGCAGCAGGGAAAAGATGAGTGAAGTGAAAGTTTAAATGCCCTAATAATCTGATACATCTGAAGGTGACTCTTCTAATGATGTGGATGTCAGACATGAGTTTGAATATTTGTAGTCCTTTAAATTTGATTTGGTTTTTGTCATTATTATTTTATTTTGACAATCATGAGTATGCTAAAGCATGTATTTCTATGACTAAGACATATGCCTGCCCAAATATACAAATATGTACCTGTTTGTTTGAAATTTTAATTTCAAGTCGCTGACGAGCAGACCTCTCTACAAGTTCTCCGACCCTTCCTAAGGAAACCTGTTACAGTGATAAAATTGACAGGATACAAATCCGATAAACTTCTGTGTGGATTTAAAAGCACTTCCAAATTAATATTATGTTTCATTTGTATAATCGAGGCTAATTTTCTATGCTATGTTGAACCAAGTCCAGGTAGTGCTGGTGATGTGCTAGAAGATGATCAGTGGGAAGGTTGAAGGTTTTGTTTATGAACTTCCTAGCAAATATAATAAGAAAATTCTGCAGAAAGATCAAGATGCCTCACTCATATGTTTGCAGCTGAGATCTTTTGCATAGATTTCTCTTATCTAGTCCTGTTCGAACCCTTAATCCTGAAGAAGCTGATTGGTTTTACACCCCTGTATACACCACCTGTGATTTGACACCTAATGGGCTTCCTTACCTTTAAATCACCGCGAATGATGAGAAGTGCTATACAGCTTATTTCTTCAAACTGGCCTTTGGAATCGGACTGAAGGGGCAGATCATTTCTTTGTGGTTCCTCATGACTTTGGTGCATGTTTCCATTATCAAGTAAGAATTTAGTGGATCATATTATAATTTTATTTAAAAGAAGATTATTGTGGTGTGCTTCTGAAGTAATATTTCTCAAGTATATCAGATTTGTCTTAGTGTTGAACATGAAACATAAAACTTTGTCACGTTTTGTTCCAGGAAGAGAAGGCAATTGAAAGAGGAATTCTGCCATTGCTACAGCGTGCTACCTTGGTTCAGACTTTTGGACAGAGGAATCATGTGTGCCTGAAAGAGGGCTCAATCACCATTCCTCCATATGCTCCACCACAAAAATGCATACCCACCTAATTCCTGAAAAGACTCCTAGGTCCATTTTGTTTACTTCCGAGGATTGTTTTATGATGTTGGAAATGACCCTGAAGGTGGCTACTATGCAAGGTAGGTTTCATTCTTAAAGCATACATGCCTAAGAATGCTAACTTGCATCCTATAATTGAAAATATAATTATAATTTAATTAATGTATCTTGTTATTATGGTTGAATTACCCAAAAAAATCAATCAAAATGGAACTTAGTCCTTTGGTGATCTAAAGTTGATTCTTGAGATTCCATTAAAAATCAAGGAAAAATATGTTTAAAGTCTGGTACTATGCATGGATGTTTTCATAATGCAAAACAAACACAACTACAATAATCTAATCTGTCAAGTTGTTGTATCTTGAAAATTTTCAGAGGTGCGAGAGCAGCTGTGTGGGAGAACTTTAAGGACAACCCGCTTTTTGACATTTCCACTGAGCATCCAACCACATATTATGAGGACATGCAACGAGCAGTGTTTTGCCTGTGTCCACTTGGCTGGGCTCCTTGGAGTCCTAGATTGGTTGAAGCTGTGATATTTGGCTGCATCCCTGTTATCTGCTGATGATATTGTCCTACCATTTGCTGATGCAATCCCATGGGAAGAGATCGGTGTATTTGTTGACGAAGAGGATGTCCCAAAGTTGGATACTATACTCACATCAATCCCACCAGAAGTAATATTAAGGAAGCAGAGATTGCTGGCAAACCCTTCCATGAAGCAAGCTATGCTATTCCCTCAGCCTGCTCAACCAGGAGACGCTTTCCATCAAGTTCTAAATGGTCTGGCACGTAAATTGCCACACAACAAGAGTATATACTTGAAATCAGGAGAGAAGATTTTGAATTGGACTGCTGGCCCTGCGGGTGACCTGAAACCGTGGTAGAGGTTATAGCAGTTTTTTCTTTGAGGCAATTAGGATTCTTTATGTTGCTTGGTCAATCCTCCAAGTGTCCATAGGGGTTGGTTGTAATTCAGCTGCTGGTTTCAATATTCATTGTAAATTTTGATAATTTTGCCAAACAATATATTAGATGTGTTGTCCATTTGCAGCTATGGAGTTTTATTTCGTTATTATACCTTGCTTTTGATATTTCTTTCATTGCACGTTTCTTAATCCCCTGCCCTTGATAGTTTGTATAAAAGGAAGGTGTTAAATTTTGTGTTTTTATTTTTTTAATCACCCCTCTGCTAGGGGTGTTGAGTGTTAAAAAAGCTTGAGGTTAGATGATGGTATGATATCTGGTTGTTTTAGAATTAGAGCGCGTCTGGTAAGGACGTAAGGTAGTTTCAAAGCTAATAATGATTACTTGTAGCATTCGTCTTTCTCCCGTATGATTATTTTATATTAACAAGTGGTTCATTGCTAATTAATCGTGGGTTGACCATCATGCCCATCGCCGCCTCCAACAACCGCGTATTTTTCTTTTCTTGGCTTCTTTACGGGCAAACTTTTCATTTACACGAGTGGAATACTTCTAATATCGCTAGATAATTTTGAAGGGAATTTACCTCAAGGTGATAAATGTGTGGTTTATATATCTCAGTTACTAATTCGATTGGGAGTGAATTTCATCGAGAACTTTTTCTTTGACGACATAAGCTGGTGACGAATGGGCATAATAAAGTAGATATTGTCGTACAATGAGAGAACCTGGACGCTGCGGGACTCTATGGAAGCAAATCTTTTTCATGCCAAAGGAAATTTTGCGACTTTCTTCATCCTTTTGCTTCGAAATTGCCATTCTTCTATTTATGCTTCACCTCCCTCTTCATCCCAATCCACACCAACACCATCATCGATCATCATACTTCATGAGCACTGTACTGAGGGTTTCCGTACGTCCAAGCAAGCCTCTAACTTCCGTTACCGATTCCCTTCACGTTTTCTCTCAACGGTTTGTAGTTTTTATAATATCAGAGTTCTCTCAAGCCCCAAAGATAACAATGAGCCGCATTTTCACAAACTAATTTTTAATGGATTTACTAATCTAAAGTGAACTAGTGTCGTCATACCCTTGTGCTTCTAATAATGCTGCAGGTATATTAAAACACCTTTTGTGAAAGGGCCTCGTAGTCGAAGATACTTCTACACTGGTGATCGCTTCACCTCCACTCATAAGAGTTGCAACAGCAAGTTCTACCATTCTAGGTTGAATCGAGGAGTTTACTTCCGTTATAAGCAGATGAATCGAGGAGTTTTGCTTGAGTTTTATTTGCTTTATACGGTTGATAATGGTTCTCATTTAAATGGAACATTCATTTTCAAAGACCGAGGTCCACCCGTGGCGAATCAATCATCTTTTTTTTTCCCCTTATTTCTATTTGGGTGAATAACCAATCAAGTCTTTCTTACGCAATAGAACCATAAAGCAATCTCGGGCTCTCGGCCTATGCCCTGTCAGCCAATAAATAAGCAGATGATGCAACCACATGGAGAAAAACTGCTTCCTGGAGCCTAAACATATCTCTGCATGGACATGCTAGAAAATTCATGCAATCTGACCGATTAAGAAAACAACGAGCTATTTATTGGCTGTTGCAGTAAGATATTACTGCTGACTAACTTAGACCTACGAAAAAGGATATTGCAACGGCGTAAAAATAGAACAATTACACATTCATGAAAGGCACGATTTGGGGTCGCTCCACAATGATTCAAGATCATTCTCTTCAACTGTCTCCATTTCCTATGTCCGTTGCCTTAACAGTAGCTTCATCAAATTATAACAAGACCAGTTGGAGAATACGGTTACTTCCTCTCGAAAGGATCCTGTAACAAGATACATTCATGAGGAATTTTTTCATTCTTGCAAGATGAATGAACCTTCTATTCTTCTCTCCATGGACGGCGGAGGGGGGGAATTCAAGGGAGAATCATATCGTTGAAACTGGAGGTAGGTGCAGGCTTGAACTCATAAGGTCCTTCCTTCGGTCCCCAAACCTGAAATCAGATATGAAACTGAATAATGCCAAATCTTTTTCCCCTCAGATAAATGCCTATTCACAGTAGCCATTACAGTCACACATTTTGACAAACTAGCTAAAAAATGCAGAATCAGCTAACAAAACTAACTTGATTTCCATCATCATCATAACCCCTATCCCAGGTATGTATCTCCTTATTTTTCATGACAGCAAGTTCTGTAGTACAGTAGGATGCTCCATTCTGCAATAACAAAGGACAATATATTATACAGAATTGGAATAACCCCCTCGAAAATGAAAGGGGGTTTGCAGTTTGAGAACAAAAGGAAGGGGGAAAAAACAACTGCGAGAAAAAGACAAAATTTCAAAACCCAAGTTCAACAGGGCTTGTACCGATCCAAGTATTCTAAATTTTATACAATATATTGACACTAAAACCAGATTCAACACAACACCAGTGAGCCAACTTGTGCACAGAAAAGTGGTGCACAGATAGGGGATGGGTTCTATAACGAAACAGTTTAACCAAAAATTACCCATGAATTAGGAAACCCGCCAGGAGGGGTTGAGCCTTCATATAAGCAACGTTTTCCACGTGGACAACGCTTTAGATGTATTGTTGTCAAATGCTCTGCAATGTCCTGCAAACCATGCTACACTTCCTCAGAAGATACCCATGCCTATGCAGTTAATGGATACCATCTATGCCTGAAATCCCTTCCATAACATATTCATTTTAAAATTTACTTTTTAATCTTTTGACAGTATATCGTGTCTCAATTTCATTTATTCAGCCAACTTCTGTAATATTTTACTAAGATCCTAAGATTTTCATTTTTCTAATCAATCTCTTTTCTCTCCAGACTCTTCATTTTAATTTTTTGTCGCTATACACTACCTTTTATAAACATCCAAATATCATTTCATCATCAATCTGATTTGCTCCCCCCCCTCTCTTCCTCAAGTGCGCTCACACATACTGACCTGAGGTTAGAAAGTCAGTGATGAAGTTTCAATTCAGTGATATTGTATGAAATAAATATAAACTATGTTGCTGAAAATCAGATACAATTAACTAATGTCTAGAAAAGTTTATATGGCCTTGTGCCCTTAAACTAGGATCTTGGCATAGACATAATTTAATGCTTTACCCCAATGACTTCTTCTTGCTGTGGACGTTGATCCTTTGAGCGATCACAAAAATTTTTGTACTCCTCCATGTCTCTGATGGCATATGTATTTAACTACAATTAATAGAAGCAAGCATTCAGACAATAATTCAAAACAATATATAATGTCCATCAATTAGTACCAAGAATCAGAATACAATTGTCTTCCAAAGATGAGGTTTTCAGCTTCCTCTTCCAAGAGAACTTCAACAAAACCTAGCTACATTTTAGACCACTTACTTTTAGTTGCCAAATGAATAAGAAACATTAAAAAGTCAAAAAAGTTCAGAGGAGAGGTATCCTCTAGGTAAGGGAACATAGATGGTCCAAAATAAGGGAGCAGGGGAGAAATGCATGAGAACATATACTCTTTAAATATTATTCCAAAGAAAAATAAAGCTTCATTCCCTTTAAAAAAGTGATTCTCAAGGATTATGTGGCAAAATTTAACTAATTTTCATGGAATAAACTCTTCACAATTATTAAATGAGGGGGAGAGAGCACCATAGAACCATAAAATAGCAACCATACCAAGTTCCATACAGATAAGTGCAAACAGCTAAAAGAATCACAATGAGGACAACATCTTTAAAGCGGTCGCATACAAACCTCAACATCACATTTCAACTCTTTTGGACAAGGTTTCACCATGAAAAACCTCTGCAAGAAAATGATAGATGATAATTTAGATCGTGCACCATAGGGAAAACTAAAATAATAAGGAGCAGTGCGGTAAAAATTCCCAGAAAGTCAAGGACTATACATTGTGGAGATGTCTTGCTCATGTTCAGTTTTTTTAGCCACTGGCTCATGTTCAGATTTGAAGTATGAACTAAGAGAAAATAAATTTGAACAAAAATTCGCATCAGATATGCGAGCTACCTGCCGAAATGGCTTTTGTGGAGTCCTCCAAAATGCCTATACGCACAAAACATTCATTGAGCAACTTACGAGATTTAGATCCAAAAGGAAGTAAAATTGTTCACAATGAAGATACTAGTAGACTTGTATTTTATTCACCTGTTCAAAATACATGACCTTTGAACCATCCACTAGTTCTGCCGCAGGGCATGTGAGCATTCTGCGAAAATTAAAGATCAGTGATGCATTTATGAGTGGATTTCTTCTGCAAAGAAATTAATTAAATAAATTCAGTCACCACCCCCTCCCTGTTCTCCTTCTCAGACTAAAAACTTTACAGAGGGAATCGTGAAGAAATTATGGTACCATGGAATGCAGCTTCGGAAACGGTCAAATGTGTTGGTATTGCAAAGGTACTGAAGCTAATTATAATCTGACACTTCCGGAAGTAAAATAGGCGAAACAGAAGATGCTAAAGGACAGACAACGATAATGATGCCAGAAATTGGAAAGAATGAATAACATACCTAATATTGAAATAATTATCCGGGTCTCTGGACGCTTGCTCTTTCGAATACTACACCAAAAAGTCCTCAAAAATTAAGCACAAAAATAGAGGAAAAGATCATTTACCACACACACACACACAACAAGCTACAAGTAGTAGTAGAGCAAATATGAGAAGACGATTAACCTTTTCGCCAGCGAGGGACTGAGAGACAATACGGGCATGGTCCCAACGTGTGGTAGACTTACTCAGTCGCTTCACCAGAAGTGCACCTCCAAGAAGTATTAGAGTCTTCATCACCAGTCCTCGAGCACGGTTCCATCCATTGGAATCGTTCGAATCCGACTCTTTACCCATGTCAACTGTTCACTATACAAATAATATTCCGCGAAATTGATGAATCATCTAAATCTAGCTATTTTAATACATCCATCATCGTCTTCATCTTCGCTCAAAATTGTAATTCCCAAGACGAGAAGACGGAAGTACAAAAAGAATCAAGAAACTTTGAAGGTGAAGCAGAATACGGTTTGGGAAGAAAACCAAGAAACTCGCCGAATTTTAAGTAACAGGAGCAGAAGCATGAAAGGGGAGATTGCAGCCTAGCTGCTTCGTCAATCTTCACTGGAATGAGAAAGGCTAATCATCTTCAACCATCCAGAGATAGAGGCACGGACCTCAACCTTTGTAAGATCACTTCCCCGCCATCAATTGGGTTAACAAGAATTAGTCTGAAATAAAATGAACATATAAGATCTCGTTTTCTTTTATCTCCCGTGTAAAAATTTTCTTTTTCACAGAACTTATTTATCGCATTAAATTTTAATAATTAAATTAGAGGTTATATAGACTATAAATAACCAACTTCTTTTGCTTTTTTTAGGACCGAACAGAGTTTCTTACAAGATGCTCGTTGCGGCTTTAAATTTAGAGTGACTAAAAGATACTTAAATCATTAAAATATCTAAAATAAAAATATTTTTCTAAATATACTTCTATTTGAAAAAAATGAACTTGAAAACAACAATTTCTCATAAACTACGGATTGAACATGCAACGTGATTTTGAAAACAAAAAAAAATTAATACTATACCATTTTATGAAAAATGATGGTCATGGATGGAGTGCGTAATTTTCTCATAAACATGATTAGATTAAGTTATTTGGCTATATATAATATGAAAAATCAATACACAATGTTACATTTTACGTTGGAGCGATTTGAGAATGATTCTGATTAAATAAACGAGTACATTATACATCTTACTAGATTAATCTTTTAAAGAGAGAATAATGGTCCAAGACAACAAGCTCTTATAATTCAACGCAATTTTAAATCAATTCGTTATAGTTTATATACTTGATAATTTGATATGCTAAAAAGCATTTATTTTTACAGTTAAAATCCGTTTTAACACCGTCAACTATACAGAGTTGGAAGCTGATGCAGATTAATTCTGCAGCCTAGTCAATAATTATTAGGTGCTACGGAAAATTAAGAATCTCTAACACCATTTGCATCACTCTTAAATAACTACATAATCATGTAGTACATCTTAACAGTGACATGCTGATACCACTTTATAAATAAACATAAATTGTTTATAATCCAATGCTATAGGGAATTCGTACAGAACTCAATATAATTTATCATTCCCCAAGCATCAATAAAACATCAAGGTTAACTCCATACATGGTTAGTTACTTAGCTTTAACATGGATTTGATCACGAAACTGCCTAAAATCTCCTTCTGGATGTCATGCTAATAGACTTTATCTCCCTCCCCAAGGATGATAACTGCCTTTCACACATACACACTACACGGACTAGGACTTCTAAAAAGTTCTTTTCCTTTCTCGGCTTCTAATGTTGGTTGGAACATAGATTGCTTAAAAATTAATCTCCCGCCTTTCTGCAAAGAACTTCCCCGATACAGGTTGGTCAGGAAGAAGGGCAAGCCAGACTCCAGTATCAGCTCCTTCCTCAGCTGTAATATTTCCTGCATAACCTGTAAGAGCAGTCTTCACCCAGCCAGGGCAGTAGCAGTTGATGTAAATCTTCTGACCTTGGGGTCGCTCAGGAAGCTTTCTTGCCATGAGTCTTGTATAAGCATTGACTGCAAGTTTTGACACTGAGTAGTCGGTAAAGGTTTGAGGCCACCCATTTGACGTCCAGGTTCCATCTTCTACTTGTTGTAGGAAAGTGGACACAGTCCTATCAATCAGTTCTTCCGAAAGAGATTCCTCGTCACTTAGTTGCTCCCTCAAGGCTACATCACTGATTCGCTGTCGCTCAAGCAACCAATAATCAGTTTTTTCCCACCTCTCTTTTGGTTACAATCTGTAAAAAGGTGTGCGGGGAACCAAGGGCTCTATTGTACTTCAAAGCAGCTACAACAAATTGAAAGGCTGTACTATTATTTGAATTTTTCAGTCTCACATGTCAATTAAGGGAAAATGGAATATTGGAGTGACCATAGGAATTTTGCTGATATGTGTCATAAAGCGTAATGCTTCTCTAACACTTTCAAGTTTCAACCTTGTTAAAAGTTAATTTGAAGTAATATTAGCAAATTAGAAATAAAGAAATTTACGGATTTTAACATACAAGAACAAGGATATCTTTGTAGCGAAGACATGTTTTAGTTTAGTCCCAATAATGACAAATTCTGAATTTGAAAAGGGGGAGCAACAACAAGAAAATAGCAAATTAAATTTACCAGAAGAAAGTGTTAACGAGGGAAGGAATAAAAGATGAAGATAAACTTTGCTTCAGGATTTATCACTAAAAAAAAAAAAAAAGAGGCACAGCATTGTTTACATACACACATTATATACACAAACATTTAAGTCTGTATATAACACGGAAAAGGTGTATTTTCAGGAAGCAACGTAAAGAATTTTCACTTACATTACGTCTACCATTTAGTCTACCGAGACGCGAGCTCACATTTACAATACGAGCACCAGCAGTGGAAGGCTTCATCAATGGGATCATAGTTTCAGTCATGCTCTTAACGCCATAGTAATTTGTTTCAATAACCTTAAGGGCATTTTCAACAGAGTTATCAAACCGAAGATTGAAATTAACTCCAGCATTGTTTACCTGCAGGTGATAATATTATTTAGAAACATAAATCGAGGGCCTGTTCTACTTCTAGCTTCGACTAAAATTTATTGTGTTCGATTAGAATTTCATGGTTAGAAAGTATTGATATATAAATATATATCTCTAAAGTAAAGATAACACATATAATGCAACATAAAAAGACAGTAAAGATTGAGAAGATGAAGTAGAAGCAATTAGAATGTATAAACAACTATAAAAATGCCAAGATCAGTTAGTTGGTCAATGCTTGAGCTGAAACCAGATTAAATATATGTATATAATTAAAAGAAAAAACTTGAAACTGACCAGAATATCCAAACCAGCATAATTTTTCTGTAACCACTCAGCAAAATGGTAGATGGACGAAGAATCTAAGACATCCAGCTGATGTGAAACTACGTTAAGACCACCTTCTTGCAAGACCTTAGCTGCCTCACAACCAGCACCCGCTTCCCTTGATGTCAATATAACAGTCAATCCATGTCCAGCAAGTTGTCTACAAATCTCAAATCCAATACCTCTGTTTCCACCAGTAACCACGGCAACTGTTTCCTTAGACCACCACCTATCATTATGCAATAATAAAAAATATATATATATAATGCCATGAACTGCGGGACAGATTCTGAATTATTGTGAAGTGTAAACAGAAATCATGGTTTAAAAAAATACAAACAGCTATAGTTGCACGCCTGCTAGTGCCAATATTCTAAGGTCAAATTCAATTATCCCATTAGACAGACATGCGGACTTCTTCTCCATTTAGACGAGATACTATATTACTTGATCGAGGAAATGACAAGTTTATACATCCAAAACATTCTCCTTTTCAAGTTTTGCCAAGTTCCAACCCTTACAAGTTTCACTGTCCCTTAAATTTTACCACTCGTAAAGTCGTAATGCTGTTTGTCCTATCAGCTCTATTAGAGTATGAGTTGTTGGTAGATTTTTCGGAGTTAAAATCCAGTAAATGTTGGTTTTGGCCTTTTCGGCACTGAGCGATCATAAATCCAACAGCGAGAAGGCACAAAAATTGACTTCTTCTGAAAAGGTAAGAGAGTAAAGGAGCAAAATATCCAACCTCTGGTGATCAGAATAAGGAATGGTCCTGAGAATCGAGATCTCTTGCATCCTCTTTTCTCTTCGCTCCCCCGCTTTCTCTTTGTTCCCCATATCTTTTTCGTGTCCTATCACCAATGCTTCGGTTATGGAGCTCGCTTACTGTTTGGAGAAACTTGGAGCCTCGGGGCGGTGGGCTTTTGAGGAATTTCCCATCCCGACGTTGGTAACGTCGGAGATCCTACCCTCTTAGCGCCCCAAAGGAGCAGCTTCCCCGGCCCCGGTTACAAGTCGCTTCGTGGGCTTCCATCATCCGTTTCCTTCAATTTCTTTTGTTAATCTTTTTTTTCTTGGGCCATAGTTTACATGGTTTTGTGGTTGAGAAAAATATAGCGAGGTCCAAAACAATGATAGCTGGGTTTTTAATAAAATTTTTATAAAATAAATTATAAATAATTATAATTATAAATTTATATTATAATTTAAGAATTATATTTAATACTTAAATAATTACGTGTAATTAAAACTCATGGATTTATGATTATTTGAATTAATAATTTTAATTTATTTTTTAAAATTTTTTATTGAATACCTAATTGTTATTAATTCAATATTTTAAGATTTAATTGTCATTTTTTTATTTTATTTACATACCCTTTTTCTGTCACGAAGGAATAACAAACTATACTGAGAGTACTGACAAACTTTTATAGGAAAATCACATCTAAGGATGTTGAAAAAAGTTATTAACATGCAAGGTTCAACAATAAATATTTAATGTAACCAATGAATATATTAGGTTGTGTTAGGAACTTTTCTTTTTATTTTATTTGCAAGAATTATTACACTTCCAAGAACATCTTTCATATTTTATTAGATTCACTTCTAAATTCTCATAGGTATAATTCTATAATTTTTAATTGAATGTGATTTTTGTTCAAATTTTCTCAAAAATATGGGTACAACATATAAAAAAATATTTGAATTATTTGATAAAATTTCATTCTATATTTTCTAATAACCAATTATAAGACATTCTTATGATTTTGTTTTTTGTCAACATTTTCCTCCCGAACATTACATAAAATGTTTCTTTCACATTGTAACATAAGTTATGACCTTAAAATTTATTACTTCTTAACAAAACATGTTAAATTAAAAACAAATTAATCGTTCATTCATTTTTTTTAAATTTTAGAAGTGAATATATACTTAAACAGATTTTCATTTTGTCTAACAAGATAACACTATTATTTAAATTGAAATTTTGTAAATATTATTATCTATACCACTTCTTAAAATTTTCTTATATGTTGGCAACTTTTTTTCTTGGTCCAGAGAAACTGACTCTCTACTGGAGATGCTCCGATGAAACTGAATATGAATTGATTTGTTTTCATTCAACTGAATCGCAGTGTCACATGGAGTTCTGGCCATTAGCGAATTAGTTAGTTTATATTATCCTCAAGACTATTGGAAGTAGCTCGTCTTTCTTTCGCACGTCAACTTGGTTATGGGGCATGATTAGAAATCATTTGGGCTCCGCCAGCGTAGGTTCGAATCCTGCCGCTCACGTTTTATCCCCTGTTTTCCCCTCATAGCAATTTGAAAGGGGGGTAGATTCTGCCGCCAGCAATGCAAGTTCGAGTCCAGTTTATATGCTTCCACCGCGAGGGGATTCATGACTGACGCAAAGGAGCTGGGTTACATGAATCCCTTAAGTGGGATAAAGCAATGCAAATTCATCAAACAACTCCATCAGCTTCATGCTCACTCCATTACCTCCGGTCTCCTTTTCCTTCATCCTTCACATTTTTTGGACACTATTCTTCATACTTTCGTTTCCATTCTCATACCCGCTAACTTAGCCAAATCTGCAAGTTTCAACCCATCGAGCTATGCACTCTCTATTTTCCGTTCCATTCCCAACCCATCAACGTTCTCGTACAACAACCTCATTCGAGTCCACAGTCTTCTTTCCACCCCTCTCTGCGCCCTCCAAATCTTTACCCTGATGCGGCGTCTCTGTGTTCCCCCTGACTTCCACACCTTCCCATTTGTCCTCAAAGCCTGCGCTCAACTTCGTGTTCATGCTCTCTCACAATCTGTTCATTCACAAGCTCTCAAGTTCGGGTTCGTGGCCCATTTGTTCGTGCTGAATTCTCTCGTTCATGTTTACTCTATCCACAACCGTATCGATGATGCCTACCAAGTGTTTGCGGAAAGTTCTGACAAGGATGTTGTCTCTTACAATGCCATGATTGATGGGTTTGTCAAGACTCAGCAGATTACGCGGGCACGTGAGATGTTTGACCGAATGCCAGTACGTGATGCTGTGTCTTGGGGCACAATGATTGCTGGTTATACCCAGGCTAATTTGTGCAATGATGCACTTGAACTCTTCAATAAGATCCTTGTTTTAGAACTTCGGCCAGACAACATCGCATTGGTCTCCGTTCTTTCTGCTTGTGCTCAGCTGGGGGAATTAGAACAGGGAAAAATTGTTCACGAGTACATTACCCGAAATGGTATTCGAGTTGATTCCTTTTTAACCACTGCTTTGGTGGATTTTTATGCCAAGTGTGGATGTCTTGAGGCCGCAAGGACTATATTCGATTCAAGTGCTGATAAAAATGTGTTTACGTGGAATGCAATGCTTGCCGGCCTTGCGATGCACGGGAAAGGTTCAATTTTGCTGGATTACTTCTTTAGAATGATTGGAGCTGGAATTCAACCTGATGGAGTGAGCTTCCTAGCTGTTTTAATGGGATGCAGCCATGCAGGTCTGCTTCATGAAGCTCGGAAGCTCTTAAATGAAATGGAACCTGTATATAGGATTCCTCCGGAGCTCAGACATTATGGTTGTATGGTGGACATGTTAGGGCGGGCAGGTTTGATTGGAGAAGCAATGGAACTCATAAAAGGAATGCCATGCGGTGGGGATATTTTTGTGTGGGGAGGATTGCTCGGAGGATGTAGGACTCATGGGAACCTTGAGATTGCAAAGAAAGCAGCCCAACAAGTGATGGAGATAAAGCCAGAAGATGGCGGGGTTTATTCCATCATGGCCAATCTTTATGCCTATACAGGGCAGTGGGATGATGTAGTCAAGATTAGAAGATTGTTGAGTGCCAATAAGAGGGCCAAGAAAATCATTGCCTTTAGTTTGATTAGATTGAATGACGACCATGACCTTGAGTCTGAGAATGCGGACAGCATGACATCCTTAAACTGATGGTAGGATTGAATCTATCTACAATTGGATTTAGTTCAGTGAGGACAGTTGAGGCCTCAAAGGTAAGACAAAATACAAGTTTATAGCCCAGATTTTATTCATTCCCAGTGTGACTTTCACACACAGAGTTTGGTAACTGTATAGTCTTTTGGTTATGTGTGGTATGTGAAATGAACAGGGACTATTGTAATATTATTGCGGGCTTGTGAATGTTGTAACGTTCTAAAATTTTAATTTGAGAAACTAATTATTAATTAAAGGATAAATTAGTAATTTAGTGGATTGATTAGATAATCAGGATTTTGGATGGCAATTTGAGGTTTTGATTCTTTAGATTATTGAATGGATAGGATCAGGTAGAAAAAAGGTGTTTTGGAGTAAAGCATGTGAGCACGGTTGAATTTTCTTCACTATGTCACACATCATGGCACATGGCACAGAAAATGACTTCAAGGCTTGTGAATCAGCTCGTGGACTAGAGAAGGAAAAAGGAAAAAGAGATACGGTGGAGAGAAGAAGATAAGGAGGTGAGCTAGGGCAACAAATTTTGGAAGCCTAGGAAATATTCTAGGCCTGTCCCTTGGTGGGTGAATTTCATACTACTCTCCGATTCTACACTAATTTCCCTTAGTTTGAGTTATGAAGAAATTGAATCAAAGAATTTTAAAGGTTATTTTCTTATCCTTTAGTAATATAAAGACTCTTCGGAGTTGAATTAAGATTTTGCAATTGGTTTAGAAGTTAGTGTCTAAGCTTTGAAGCTATAAGCATAATTTGTTCTGATTTAATAAGTTAGAATGGGTAAAAGTTTGATAAAAAGTGTGTTAAGGGCTATTGTCGGCTTCAAGAGGACTTAGTAGGATATTAAAAACCTAAGATGGGTAAATAAGTGTGTTTGATTGTAACAATTAGTACTTTTGGTCAAGTTAGTAATTGACTAATAATACTAATTTGTATACAATAGCATAGTTTATGCATTGTCTAGCGAGAAAGGAGTTCAAGAAAGAGTAGTGCCACGGGTAACCTTTCTAAATACTGAAGGGTTAAGGTAATCAGATAATTTATTATCCCTATTAATTAGTTTAATTGTTTATAAGTGAATGTTATAAGATAATTTATGATATTATAGTATGTTTTGGAAACTTGCATGTATTAGCATTCAAATGAGTTTGACTTTTACTTAAAAGTTTTGCTTATGGTTTAAAAAGGAAGATTTAATATGTAAGGGTATAATTGTGTGAAAATGTGTAAATGTGATTATACGCATGTAAAAGTGACATGATCATATTAGATGGTAGGAGTTTACCCTAATTGTGTGGAGATGTGTGATAAAAATCCATGTAGTTGGCTAGCACCATGAGACATCCAGTGTAGTATTATACTTGAGACTGTTATCATAAGACATCCGGGCAGTGTGGCAGCTCCTAGTGCCTGAAAGGATACTGTTAGGAGTTAACGACACCCCTATTGTGTGTTTTTGATAGGGGGAATTCATAGTTTAAAAGTAGGATAGAATGCATTTGGTCGGGTGTTTCTACTATTGAAGGTGTGGTTGATCCAATAAAGTCTACGAGTTTAATCGAGGAGTTTGGAGGTTTAGTGGATAAATGATCATGCAAGTGTGCTATTGTTTTTATGAAAATCATTATAAACATTTATATATGTGTTTATTTAGAGTTAACCTTGTTAATAGATGATTGGTGAATTATCTTGATTATTGAGATTTTTTTTAATTTCACCTATGATTATTAATATATATATATATATATATATATTTTACAGGATTTGACATTGGGAGTTCAAAAGGGAAAGAATCGGACTGAGCTTAATGGATTTCTTATTAGCTCACTAAGGTTAGTGTAATGAAATTGTTTGGGTAAATAATATTTTGTATATAAATTACCATAGGATCATATGCAAGCAAATGTGATATTGCGCTTGTGTGTATTTATGTCACCACCTAGCCTTGTAGAATGTGTATGTGTGTTTGAGGTGAATTTAGTAAATGAGGGCAAGGGTACTATTACAATAGCATATGTATGCATATGTCTAGCGTGAAAATGTTTGG